TGCCACAAGGTGGCATAAGGCTCATGTGCAGGCCGAACGGGCACTCCTAGCTAGAAATCTTCGATCACAGGCTTGAGAGGCACATGCACACCTGAAGTGGAGCACCCACAGGGATACTACTCGAAGAAGGTTAATTATTGAGGGTAAAATTATCTTCCTTTGTCCGAACAGTGAATTTCTTATCTCCAAAGTGAAGATCTCTTTATAAACAGCACTTGTTCCTCTCCCCACACAGAATCTGCACTGGCAACTGCACGAGTTCTGCAGGATACAGTGTGGAACCCGGAGGAAAATCCTCTCTTCGGTTAGGCAGATTCCATTTATAGTTTAATCAGAATCATTTGTGGCTTAATCAGAAAAACAGGTCTCTTCTGATTTTATACTTGTGAAACTAAAGGCAGGGTTTGTTCCAGACATAAATAAGCTTTGCAGTGCTATAACTCATTTTCCTTCCTTGGAATAAAATGAGTTACACCACCGTAATGCTGGTAAAAGTGATGAAATCAGAATGAGGTTCACTGTATTTACATAACCAGTACGCCAAAGCCTTTTTTTTTTTATCTTAGGGATTTGTTTTCTAGTTCCTTCCAAGAACTGCACCATTTGTGTGGAAAGCAACATGATTTTTACTGTTATATTTTTACTCAATTTCTTCTGCAAATATAAAAACAGAAAATAAAAGCAAAAGCAAGAAGGCAGAACAAGCAAGAAATAAAAGAAATGTCTGTATACAAATTTACTGTACAAATATGGATTCTCCTTAAGGTGTTTGTTTAGCAAGCCAGTGTCTTAGACACATTTTAAACAGGTGGTCATCCATCAAAGCATACACCACGCAGCAGACTTTCAGATAAAACATAACTGTAGTAATAAATTATCCCCAGGCAATTGTCTTGTGGTTTTTGACTCCTGCCAGGATAATATCTAGATCAATAATAGAGGAATTTTGAAAGCCTTGAAAGACTATTCATAATTGGAATACTCCAGAAATATATTAATATAACAAACAACTTTCTCTAAGTGTTATGAAAGCAAATGTGTTATACAAGGCAAGTTTCAAGGGAAATAAAAGAAAAGTGTGATTCACCATTGACTACTTTATGGAACAGTCTTGTTATTTCTTTAAATTTACGGTAGTCCTGTCAGTGATAACTGCTCGTGTATATGGGAGGGCATACTTTGACATTGTAAGAAGTTTAGCAAAAACATCTGTGCCAGATCAGAGAAGAACTTACGAAGAATGAACTCACTGTACCATGGACAATTATTTCTGGGGAGAAAAAAAAAATCACGGACAAATGAAGAAGTATTGAAGGGATGGAGAAAGGAAGTACTGAGGTTCCAGTTCTCAAAAAAGCAAATGGCCTGATCCTGGCCATTATAACCACAAAAGTCTACTACTCTCATCACAACACAACTAATGGGCAAGAGAAACATTGGGGATCATCGGACAATGGAACCGATTACCAAGGGATGTGGGAAAATTCTCCATCACTTGGCACCTTTAAGACTGGATATCTTTCTAAAAGACATACTGTAATGTGACTACAAGTTGTTGGGCTGGATGGAGTCATCACTGGGTGAAATTCTGAGGCTTGTATCATGTAAGGTGTCAGACTAGATGATCACAATTGTCCCTTCTGGTCTTAAAATCTATTCATTTTTTAGAGTGATACAAGGATGAATTTAAATCAGCAGAAACTTTCAGCTGAATATCAGGGAAACCTTCTTACCAACAAGATGTATAAGAACGTGGAATAATCCCTCCAGGTTAATGATGGATGCTCCAGCATTTGAAACTGTGATGAATTGGGAATATATCTATACAATTTATGAATTCTGTGTGAGATTATGAATCCTGCATGTCTGTGTCAGGTTGCAAACTCCATTTTGAATGTGCAGCCTTTTGTCTTCTCTATGGTCTGTTTGCCTCCATGCTGAGTTGAAAATTCCAAAGGCTGGCAGCAAATGACGGACAGTAGAAGGTAATTGACTCCTATGCTCCCAATTGTTGGATATCTGCTCACTCTAGACACAAGACTGATCCCTGTCCAGAAGAACTGGTTTAGCAAGGAGGAAGTCACCTTGGCAACAAAGTCACCTAACAGATTTGTGCTCATATGGTGAAGCTGGCAAGGCAGTCACCTGACATGGGGGCAGGGGAGGGGCTGAAAATTTTAAAAGGGCAGAGGCTGATTGGCTCGGAGCCAATTTTCTTCAATCCATAAGAGAGAGACCGCTTACCATGTAACAGTCTGCATGAGACAGGGGACACACTGTCTGCCTGGACCCAGATAGTTCCCCCAGGACTCACAAGGAAAAGCGAGGGGCATTGCAGTTTCCAATGTTTATTGTTTTGAATGATCTGTCCTTTCCAGTGTCTTACGTGATTAAGTGTAAAAGAGCATAAAAGGGTTAGATTGGGCAAAGTGTGCACACACATGTGCGTTGATAGCTTCACAACTGCTGTGTGCCCCTGAAAGAGTTAAACTGCAAACCGGAAGCTTTGCATCTTTGGGGTGGGGTGCTGGGAGAGGGTGGGTTTAAGTAACTGGGACATCTTGGGGAGGGGGGGGGGGGTTCAGCCCTGATCCTGGGGCCTACGGCAGGTGAGCTGAGTAGCCCCATTTCTGAGAAGGGGTAAGTAACTGAGTCAGTGCTCAGGAAATGTGCCAGAGAGGCCACGAGAGGAACCAGTGCTGCTGCCTGCTGAGGCTCCTGAAGCTTAACACACTGCAGAGGATCCAGTGCCTTGCGAATGATGAGAGCCAGATGCTAAGCTCTTACGAGGCTGCTGCTTTGTGGCTAGCTGGCCACTCCCCTGTCTTGTAAGTTACAGCACACTCTTTATAGCCCACAAGGGAGGAGGCATACCAGGAAGAAGGGAGTGTGGACAGAATACACCATGCACCAGCATTTTGGGACCACTGCAAACAGTTAGACAGCAGCTACTTTTGCTGCATGGCTGGACTGGAGGATCAGGACATGGGTAAACTGTAGCTAGAGAGACGGGAAAGATAAACCCCATATAACTATCTCCATCCTGCGGCATCGAAAGAGGAGATGAGAGAGTAGGGTGACCAGATGTCCTGATAAAATTGGGACTGTCCTGATTTTGAGGAGTTTGTCCTGCGTCCTGACCGAAGCACGGTCGGGATGCCATTTGTCCCGATATTTTGTTTCGGGGGTTTTGGTTTTTTTTATACACTCACCCGTCCGGGGTCTTTGGCAGCAATTCGGCGGAGGGTCCTTCAGTCGCTGACGGTCTTCAGCGGCATTTCAGCGGCGGGTGCTTCTCTCTTTGGTGGGAAGGTTCATTACCCGCCGCCGAAATCCCGCCGAAGACCGTCAGCGATTGAAGGACCCTCCGCCGAAATCCCGCCGAAGCCCCGGACAGGTGAGTGTAACACTTAAAAAGGCGCGTCCCCTCTGGCGGTCCTGATATTTTCAACTTAGCATCTGGTCACCCTATGAGAGAGAGAGAAATGGAATGAAGGCAACAGAGTATTTAACAAAAGGCACTTTCCTGGGTTACTGAATGTCCCAACAGGAGATTGTGCAGTTCCTCGCCCGATTGTGTTAAAACTCGTGATAGGGAACAAAGCATAACTCACTGGAAGGCTTCTGAGGATCTGATCCAGGGAAGCTGGGTGCCATATAGTCTGTGCAGCTCAAGAGGGAGAGGGACAAAGGTGACTTTCCACCATCTCTACACTCCTCTCATCCTGGAGCCAGCCAGGGGCCAAGCTGGATACTGACATAAGCAATAGCAGCCTCAGGGCTTCTCTAATTTATACTTCCCTCTCTTTGGCCTCAAGAGGCCATTTCACCAACTGGGAATAACAAGAATGTAGAGACTATGGCCACACCCCCTTCCCCATCGGGAGTTAGGGGGTTGGGTGGCATATACCTGCAATGGTGACTCTACCTCAGCCATGGATTCCCCAGGCTGAGGGAATCCTCCATCATGCAGTCAGGCTAGCAGTACACTTGACTGCGGATCTGAGAATATCTAAAACATAAATAAGGGGGTGTTATTTGGAATAAAGGGCCTGATCCTGCTTCCATTAAAGTAGACAGCAGAACTCCCAGTAACTTCAGTGAAAGCGGGACTGAGCCCTAACAGTTTTTTTTAACACTTATAATAATTATTAAAATAGTACTAATCCTAATAATTTTGGTTTATAAAGACAACAAAGGAAGTAACTGTATTCCACATTATGATCCAACAGCAGTTCTACAGAGGGGCCTAAATCAAAATGAGCATAATAATGAACAGGTAATTAAATATTTCAGAATCACAATTGTTTTGTGCAACTAAAACCACACTGGCAGTTTCCTGAAACTTTCCCAGGAAAGGTTCTCCCAGACATGTCCTGAATTATAGAATGCCATTGTGCCGATCAATTTCGCGCTTGGGTAAATGTTCTAAAACCATACATGTTTGTTTGGAATATACAAAAGCCACTTACAATAATAGACAATGATTGGTCAAAAAAATGTTCCCTTTGGTACTCTAAATGTTTACCTTCTGTCATTGCCTGACATGTAGTATATGCACTGGTGAATGATGCTACATAATTCATTTGCTATTTACCTGGTATTTGCAAAGCTACTATTAAAGAAACATGCAATTTCTATTCAAAGACTTGCTAAAACACACCGTATTGATAAGAAATGCAGTTCAACAGATTTCATCAGGCCAAGTCCTGCAGTCCTTACTCAGACAAAACTCCCACTGAAATCCATGGGAATTTTGTCTAATGATTAAGGAGCCTAATCTAAAATCCATGTAAAGTTAATGTAAAGATTCCCATTGACTTCAGTAGGATTTGGATCCAGCTTTAAGTCAGTACTTTAGGAATAAGCTGCAGATGGATTTTAGCCTGAGCAGATCAGAACCAAGGCTGCCTCTTCCCCAAAATAAAAGGATTCTCTCCATGTTAGGTGGCTGTGGATTCAAAGCAAGTGTTTTAATGCTCATTTGAGACAGACAATACCTTCGCATTCAGATGCCTCGGTACTGTACTCCTCATGGTTGGACAGCAAGCGGTTGAATTTAGGTTTACGTTCTGAACCTGCTTGTGTTGCCTTTTCAGACACCCCCGACCGAAAACTCTGCGAGCGCGACACAGAGATCGCAAACTGTTTAATCACCTCGTCGTCGCTATCTGAAGATGTGGTTAGCTCTTCATCCTCCCCATAACTGTTCACTGGGAGAAAAACACAACACAGGCTTTTGACAATTTCACAGGACTTGACACAGAAGTAGGAAAACATGGGATATTTTCAATTCAGATATTTACTTTGGGGGGGAAGGAAAAGGAGAGCAATAAGACATATAACTACCATGGGGGAGCTGATGAGGAGGGCACGTTCCCTCAGACTTTTTGAAATCTTTCTGGTGCCTCGCTGTGTCTGCAGGAATCACACATTGTCAGTCCTGGCTTCCCATCCTGCAGATCCCCCAACTTTTTAAAAATGTGATTGTTCCTCCCACACCCAAAACCAAAAAAAGGAAAACCATTATCCATATATAACCATTAGCATGTGAGGAGCCAAAGTAGTAAACACGGGGCTCTAAAACCTTCTCAGCATTCCAATAATACCTCCACAGCCTCTGAAACAAATACTACCAAGTGCAGAAGAAAGAAAACTGAGGGTTAATCTACTCTTGGGTTACACCACAAAAACGAAATTACAGCATCTAGCTAATAGGCATCACCAATTCTGCATGTCAGAGTCAGCAGAGGAACCTTTTGAGAACAATGTAAATTCTAACCTTTAAAGATGAAGATACACATCTGAACATTTTGCTGTAGCTACCCTTCCCCCTCCTACTGACAATGCTGGCTTTGAATATGGGATCACTGCGTTCTCATTAGTGTTTGAATATCCTTTGTGGGAGGCGGGGGGGGGAGGAGGAGGGGGGAAGGGATCTGATGTCCCACACTTGGCCTGCTTTTTCAAATGAAAATGGAGATGAAAGTACAATGCCACACTGCAGGTTCCCCAGCCATCTGTATCAGGGGAAACAGCATAGGAGGAAGTTTTCATTTGTGAACTTGTGAGGCCAAGGGAGTTGTGGGTGTAATGGACAGCTGGAGTGTGTGTGTGTTTGTGTGTGCATGTGAACACACCAGCTGTCAAGTGTGTTACTATTTTGTTACTTACTCTTGAGGATAAAGAACACAACAGTGGCTGCCAAGACTTGTTTCAATAATCCCCATTGCATATCCAAGCCGCTGAACAAACGAACAATGCATGCAAGTGCAAAAAGGTGGGGCCATTTCTCCATGCCAATGGCTGATTTTTGAGGTGAAATCTAGCTTCATCTATATCCCACTCATACACAGCTACATGGCTACGATTAGGGAAATAGGACCCTGCTTCCACACATCCAGACTCCATTAAGTGTGTCCAATACTAATCCAATTAGAACTACCCTGACTGCTTCTCAAACCTACCTCCTTTCATGACAGTTGCAGTAGGCCTGCCGTCTATCCCTGGTCCCTAGGGGACCAGGACAAGGTAGCTCTCAGGGGCTGTGAAATTTGCTTCCACCAGGAATCTATCAGAAACTGAATCTTATTACGTTGAGGTTTTGTTATCAGATTTGCCTCTGTTGTCTGGCTTTGAGTAATATTGCCAATAAGACCAGTATTGCTCTCAGAAATTGGTCTCCTGGTAGGTAAGTGGTATTTGCCTATGCCTCAGGGGAAATCTCACTACTGTGGGGAGAAATAAATGTCCTCTACTTTGAGAAAATACACTATTTTAATTGTGTAATAGTTGTTTTGTAAATGGCACTCAATTACCAATGCTGTATCAATGAGCCCTCCTGAAATTTTAATAAGTTAAAAGGGCTTTCTTATTTTTTTAAAGAATTGGGCAGGGACAGGACATCTAACTGTTGAGGTCAACTCAAGCTTTATAAATCTCTCACAATATCATGTACTGCATTAAATAAGTATCTGTATTATTTCCAGTTTTTCCAATGGGGTGAATGCAAGTAGTTACGTTTTTCCCCCCAAAAGTCAAGTACTCTCAGTTTCTGTTGCACAGAAAGCTTTTGCCTTAATTACTTTTGGTTTCAGTTTAGCTAGCAGGTGCAGAGAGAACATTTGCTTCATCAGACTTGAGCATTTAAAGCTGAGATGAAAAAGCAAGAAAGTGTTTTCATCAGTATTTTCATTAATAACTTGGAAAATGGAGTCAAGAATATGCTTATAAAATTTGCAGATGACACGAAACTGAGAGGATTTGCAAGCACTTTGCAGGACAGGATTAGAATTCAAAATGACCTTGACAATTAGAGAATTGGTCTGAAATCAACAAAAATTCAATAAAGACAAGTGTAAAGTACTACACTTAGAAAAGAACGACTGGCTAGGTGGTACCACCACTGAAAAGAGTATGGGGGTTATAGTGGATCGCAAATTGAATGCGAGTCAACAATATAAGTCTCTGTGTGGACCGTGCTACCGCACAGTTATAATTTGGGGATTTGTCAAGCAGAAGTCAAAGTGTAACTGCAGCACTTGTTATGATGTGGGGTGCTGTTTCTTAGCTGCATTTTTAAAAACATATGCTAATTAAATGCTAGAACTAGAGGATCAAGAGCAAATGCCTGATATGACTTCTGCTGCTGAATCTTTGTCCTGGAAGGAGACAGCTCCATAAGTTGTCACGCTAATATCTTTATATTAATACAACCAAGTTTACTCATGGGAAAGAAAAAACTCAACATTCAGATTTACAAATGCTCTGATTAGAAAGGGGGGAAAGCATTTTGAGAATCACCATGGAAACTTAAATAAAGGGCCCATGATTACGATCTAAACTCGTGAAAGATGATGAACGCATCTTGTGATTTGCAGATGTTGCGCAGTACATTCATTTTAACTCATTTACTCATACACACAGCCTATTTTACAAATCAAACCTCTGATCATTTCTAAAGGGGAGTTGGCAGTACATTTCAATTACCACAGACACTTTTTGCAAGGAATTTCAAATACATGCTCAATATGATATCTAGGTTACAGACAAATACTACACAGCTAAAAACACCCAAGAGAAATGGTCCAAGACTTCTTTATAGTTACCAAGTATAAAGAATCAAATATTTTTTATTCAAAGCCTATAAAGAAAAGAATGTATTTCACATATCTGATAAAATATATTATGAATGGTGTAAAATGTATGTATTTTGCATACCGCCCTCCACTTGCATGTTATTAAATGATGGTTGTTTAAGCTGTGAGGTCAAGCACTTAGAACATAGGTAATGCCACATATATCCTTCCCAGGTAACCTTAATTCTTTCTTGTGTGTACCCATCCTGTGCTTTGAGAGACTGATCCTGCTCCACTGAAGTCAATGGGAGTTTCATTATTGACTTCAATGGGAGCAGGATGATGCTCTGAATGAACAAGGGGTCCAGTGGCAAAAACAGTAAGCGACCAAGAAATTAAAGATTGTGTTGTAATGTATATGCATAATACAGACGCCTGGCAGATCACAAATGTTCTTAGTACAGTGTCTGCTGCAGCAGTGGCAGAGACATGGACCGGACCATAGAATGTTCATGCTCAATTATTATTTTCCTGTGTTGCCACAATTCCCCAATGGAACACTAGTGACAGAAGAGAAATGGTGATTTTCAATAGTTTATAACTCAGCAAAATCTGAACTGAATTCCATAGGACAATAGGGCGATAGTTCAAGGGCTTTATCCCTGCCAAATTTCAAAGTCTAGCTGCAAACAATGCAGGTGTTATAGTTTGTCAAAACAAAGGTTGAAGGAATCTTTTCTAATGGAAACGTAAGGCAACCTAAACATAGATGTCACTACCAGTTCCCTCTATAATTATAGGCCTGATCTTCAAAGGGCCTCAACTTTGTCTACACTTGCACTTTTGTCGTTAAAACTTTTGTCGCTCAGGGGTGTAAAAAAACACGCCCCTGAACGACAAAAATTTTAACAACGAAAAGCACTGGTGTGGACAGAGCTTCATCATTCAGAGCCACGCTCCAGGCGACGAAGCTACCGCCCCTCGTTGGAGGTGATCTTATTTTGTCGCCAAGGAAGCCTCAGACTCTCTTTTTACACCTTCAACCAACTGCTAGTACAACTAATTGGGAGTGCAAATGAGGGAATGTAGACATTTGACTACCTGACCTATAGCTACAATCAGGTAGTTAAGTGTCCATATGCCTTCGTTTGTGCTAACAATTACTTGTGGACCCAAAATGACTGTCAAAAAGGAGACCTGGTTTAAAAAAAGTCAGGCCTAAAATATATTTCAAATATATAGAAACTGGGCCTCTTTGTAATATATTAAAGCTGTACCATTTCAGGATGGTGTTTTTTGTGAATTTAAATACTGTGAAGAGTGCCTGATTCAGGTAATGCACCTGCAGTGGCAACAGAAGCTTCCATCCCTACCAATGTAACTCAGCCCTTAGAAGGACTTGGACATGTCCAAGCCCATTCATTTTGTATGCTCTCTAGTGAGCCTGTCAACAAGAGTGCAAATTAGTGCCAACTGTTCAGTCATGCTACATGCACCCGATAGGTGAGTGACTGTAACATCTTATTGCTGCACTCGGCCCACTACCTTGACTGAGTAGCGCTAAGCAAATAACTGATTTTCTGGGTTAGTGGCCGAACTGAAAAATCCCAAACAAAACAAAAGAAGTGGTTCATTCTGAACCAAACCGATTTTTTTCCTTGCCAAAACAACCACCAAATAAATTTTGTTCAGTTTGAACAAAACAACATTTCCAAAATGAAACGGTTCATTTTGAAACAAAACGTTGAAATGGTTCATTTAAACAAATTTCACTGTTTTAGAATACCAGGGTTGGAAGGGACCTCAGGAGGCCATCTAGTCCAACCCCCTGCTCAAAGCAGGACCAATCCCCAGACAGATTTTTGCCCCAGATCCCTAAATGCCCCCCTCAAGGATTGAACTCACAATGCTGGGTTTAGCAGGCCAATGCTCAAACTACTGAGCTATCCGGAAACATTTTCCTCATTTTTATTTAGCTGAAACTATTCCTAGAATTTGATCCAAATTCACAAATAGTTTCAGTGGCCCCCAAAACTGTATTTTTTGGTGAATTTACTATATACTGAACATTTTTTGCCAGCTCTAGTCATGAGTCAGGTTTCTTCCAGTCAGGGACCTTGTACAAGCTATATACA